CCAGCCACAAAAGTCTGTCCCTGACTGTAATATTCTACTGATCTTCTACTATTTGAAGATATTTTCTGGCCAAACCAAAGTGTAACTGGGACCACAGAGAATTGCAGATGAACATTTAATATCCAGGAATTCACATTATAGACAATACCACTGACTATCCATATAACAATTTGGCCACAGTTTATCAGACTGACCAGACATGGCGCAACCACATACTAGGTTTTGACGTCTTGTTAAAACAAAGACAAAAATGCAAAAAACAAAACAAAAAAAACCCCAACAAAAAACAATCAAAACACTGACTGAAATAAAAAAAGAGTAAAGTAAAATTAAAGACGACACTAGATCCCTAAAATCTATTATTACAACATCAAAGTGTATTTTTACATTCACAGTGTAATGTGCTCTCAGTTACTTAAAAGCTTACATTTGAGATTAACTGGCAGAAGACTGTGGCTGAGTCCTAAATACAGCACATGTATCCAAGCAAGGATGACTTTTAAAAACAGGGTAAAGTTGGAAAGCACTTTTTTGTGGCTATACTCTGGAATTAGGAATTCATATTTTGAGTGAAGGAAACAGACAAGGATATAATTGAGCTTCATTGTAAGATATTCTGTGACAAGCAGCATGTGTGTGGAATTGATAGGCGATTATACACAATTTTTCTGATTGCATCGTTTTTGTTTGTGGAAAATTTGAGACAATCACAGTGAAATTTTCTGCAGCCTTTGATTTGCTCTCAGCCATTTACTCAATCAGATGCCCTATTTTATACTACCACTAGGGGTCGCCAGAGAAACCTTCAAATTTTGCACATAGGAGCTTTTACATACACAATGTGTTTACAAACATGAAGGCAACATATATAAAACCCCTTCATTACCCTCAATCAAACCTTTAAAATTTCATCAAAGATTAATCAAAATGTTAACATTAGTGCATAATTACAAGAACTGTAATGATGTTAGTTTTTACCTGCAGGGTATGTGAATTTTGTTTTGGATGAGTGATGTGCTGCTCTACTGTTTCAACTCCACTCCTCTGTCTCTAGTTTCATTATAAACATTCCTGGTTAAACTCTAATCTAATCTGGCCTCATGCCTGTATAACATAGTCATGCATTCATGCTTTAAGACTCCCTCGCTGCCTTGCAAAGGCAACACTGTGCCGGCATTTTAGCTTAATGGTTTTTATGATGCCCACTGGTGCTATCTAAGAAGTGGGCATGGCTGTTTAAATATATGGCTATAAGTTAATTTTCCACACATATTTGACAAAGCTAATAGCCCATATTGTATGTGCAATATGTGCACAGCCACATTCACACACACATACAATCACACTGTAGTCATTATCACACTGCACAAGCCCTCTTAATGCAAGCAATATAGAAATGTCACAACATATCACGCCCATATCCCCCTTTATACCCAATGCTTCCACCCTCTGTCTATAGTCCTTTATTCTGTCTTCTCATCCTTTTCTCTACGAAAAGCTCAAGCCATTTTTTCAGTCAGCCAAAACAAAAACATTTTTTCAATCTAGTTTATAAGGAGGACACATCTCACATCTGATCCTGAGCTTACAATCTCATCTGAAATCTGGAGGTGCCTGCATTCAAACCTCTTTTGTCAAAGACTTTCTGATTTGTATACATACATCAAAAAAATACCTTAACCCGAGGCTACGTTTTTCTAAGCCAGTATTTGATACCTGTGCAGGTACTTTAACACATAGAGGAGCATGTACACACCCCAGATCAGGAGAAACCTGAGGAGAGACAGCTGCCTTCAAGCCTGGCTCTGGCACAATGTCAGTGATAAGGTTATTGTATGGATATGGTTTCTGGGTTAGGGTGTTTCAGATTAGAAGTATGACAAGGACAGTGGTGGACAAAGTACTTAAGTAAATCTACCTAAAGCAATGTAAAAATATTCCATTACAAGTAAAATTTCTGCATTTAAAATCATATTTAAGTAAAAATTATTATTATTATTAATACTGATGCATTTAGGCACAAGTAGCATTTTATTGTTATGGTTGGTCCAAATAGAACTAGTTTTACTACTTAACACATAGTTCAGAAGTGTAGTCCAGTGGTTCCCAACCCAGGGACTGAGCCCCCTTCAAAAGGTCACAAGCTATATTTAAGGGGGCGTGAGATGATTGAACACATTTGTATTCATTTTGATCATCAATGATCTTTGATTTTTTGTGGAATATTCAATAATTTCACCTCTTTTGGCCTCAGTCTAGAGGAGAAATGACGCTGGTTGAACTTCTAACAACTCATAGGGATCTGAAATGTGTTTCAGGGACCCAACTAGATATTGTTTCTAACTAAGTAGTAACTATAGCTGTCAGATAAATGCAGTGGAATAAAAAGGACAATATTTGCCCTATAATAGTGCACTAGAAGTATAAACAAAGCATGAAGTAGTGTAAAATGAAAATACCTAAGTAAAGTACCTCAAAACTATATTTAAGTATAGTTCTTGAGTGAATCTACTTTCCACCACTGCACAAGGAGATGAAGGTGTACATTTCGAGGTGACAGATCATTTGTGTTAGGGTAATGTGTGTGTGTGTGTTTGTGTCTTAGATTCACGTGTGTGCCTGTGTGTGTTTTGTATTACACTGTGTGTATCAGATTGGGTCCATCTGCTGCAAACTGAACACAAGTATGCATGAGCAAGAGAAACAGAGATATTTAATACTGAGTGTTGGCAATCCATTTCCCCTTTAACGCTCCAACATGATGCCTCCACCCATCTAATGGCAGCAGGCTCACTAACCATATCATGAGTTTATAATAACCACATCACATCCATGGCGAATGAGGTGGAATGAAAATCTAACCTAATTTGGAGAGATACACGACTGTGTGAGTAGTAGGGTGTCCCCTGAGATGAGGCTGCGATTGAGGGGAGCCGTGTGCTGCACTGGTAGCATGCTCTGTGAGCGTGTAATGGTCTTAATTATCATTTAGCATGCCAGCCTCATTGACGACGTATCAAGCCAGTGATAAAATAGTGGAGCAGAGGGTGACAGAGAGACAGAAATGTGAACATATCAACACTTAAACGTGCAAGCACACACAAAATAGTACTCAATATCTCTAAAACACACACACAAAACAGTGAACTTTTACAGCAGCATACCCGGCGGTGCAATTGGAGTGATACACATGTACACACACACATTTCCACCCAGCTGAGTGACATCTCTCTCTCTGAATTAGTCACGATGAATGATGTGTAACCAGCCATGACACGTTCTGGCTGGGGAGATAGCTAATTCACTTTGTTTATTTAGTCAAACGTAGTAGAGCATGCTCTCTCTCCCCAAACATACACTCTCATTGCACAACATCCACCAGTCTACGTGTAGAAAGAGACAGACCCATAACCACCCCGGTGTAACATTTCATGGGGCAATTCTTTGAATCTTATCTGCCAGAAAGAAGGATCTCTGACTCTTCCTCTCTCTTTCTTACTCACACAGACACACAAAACACACAC